TTTTTTCCCCTTAATTTGTATAATTTGAGATGTGCTTGCATCCGAGTTTGATAACCTGCATGGGAGCAGGCATAGAATCTTTTTTGAGATCCACATTTGAAATTTATAAATGCCAATGCAAGCGTTTGTGTTACCTCTATGAATATTGATATTTAATTGTCTACTTACAGGTTAAAGGAATGATTACAGATTTTGGGGAAGACATGCACTGTCAGTTTCTTGAAATTCTTCGTAGTCTACTAGATTCATACACATTGTCAGGAGCACAGGTATCTGCTCTAGTTAATTTTTGTTCAATAAATATATTTTTGAGTGATTAAGTTTATACATGAGTATGTCAAGAAATTTGTAGCTATGGTTATTCTTCTATCTTTTGTGTACTACTTTTTCTTAGCTATGACTTGTGCCTGGAAAATCATCAAGATGCACTATATTACTGTCACTCTCGAGGAGAACTCACCTATTGCCTCCCTATATATTAATAGCTTACAGTGGATTTCATCTTTTGTCTCCTCTCATGTCCTTTCTTATACACTCTTTCATTCTTAAATTCCAACTTCTCCATCACAATCAACTAATGCCGTACCAGTAACTTCACCAGCAGGTCCACCTAGGTTAGAGGGGCATAGTGTATTTGTATATATGCATGTAAGTGTTCATGTATCTTTGTGAATGTGGTCATATGTGTGCATGTAACATTTGCAGCAAAAATTTTTAGTGAACATGTTAACACTATTTGGAGGATATGAATAATTGCCTTTTTTGTTTTAGGAGCTTCTATTTCTATTTCCTGAATAACATAACTTTCTTGTTGCTATATTCACTAAAACTTGTATAGTCATCTTCACTTACATATTAAATGTATAATATTAGAAACATAATGAGAGGCTTTATGAATTTGGTTATTGAACCATTGAATAGGAGATTACCTTTACTACTATCTAATTCATTCACTATACCTTTAGGTGTCTGGTTAATTGTAGATTTCGTTGATATGATTTACGTTTTATTGTTGTGTTTTCAGCTCACTCGAGCGAGGTCATTGTTTTGTTTTATTTACAATGATTTTGCATCCATTTTCATTTTGGGGAAGTTCTAGTTGTGCATTTTTCATATTCACTATATTCAAATCTCTGTTGGCTGTTACTTTTCATGACCCAATTTTGCTCTGTTCCATCTCGTAAATCTTTGGATTGCTCTTTCATGTAGAGTATTGTTATTTGTAGAGTATTGTCAATTTTTTATTAGCACAAATTCACAATTGTAGAAGCTTCATATATAGTGAAGCTGCATTTGGAGTCTGCAATACGTATGAATTTATTTATGCAGGTGTAACATTTTGAATGTTGAATTGTAGTTTATTATATTTCTGCTGAATTGTTGGAAAATCATGTCAGTAAAACTTGCATGTAAGGAATAATTTCTTTTTCAAGCCTTGTTTTTATGCTTGTATATGGATGAGTTGGTTATTGAGTATTTTTATCTCGTTTGCTTTTCCTACAGAGAGATGCAATTATCGAGATTTTCTATGAGAAGCATCTGGGTCAGTTAATTGATGTTATAACAGCGTCATGTCCTTTGGAAGGCAATGCTCAATCAATTGATCAAAATGTTGCAAAGCCTGAAATACTGTCAAACATATGTGAATTGCTCTGCTTTTGTGTTCTTCACCATCCATACAGAATAAAGTAACATCTTGGATTCTTCTTCAATTTTCATAAATGGATTTCTGCTGCTGACCTGTGACATTGGAATGTTTGGGTTTTGTCATTTGCAGGTGTAACTTTCTTCTTAATAACGTCATAGATAAAGTTTTGTTGGTAACACAAAGAAGGGAAAAGTATCTAGTTGTTGCTGCAGTTCGATTTGTTCGCACTATTCTATCCCGTCATGTGAGTTTGTGTTGATTGTAAAAGAAGTTTCATTTGTCCTTTAGTTCAGTTAGGATTTGAAATAGACCCAAATGGTCTTCAGGGGAAGTTAAGATGAGTGAATTTCCATACAAGACTAGAGGTGAATGCATGGTATGGATTGTTTTGATTTGAGCATAGCAGTTGCATTGAATTTATTTATTTTTCCATATGATGGTAGTTGTAATACAAAATGGTTCTTGTTTCTGCGTCATGTTGGCTACAAAGGGCAGTTTAACAAGTTGTCAACCCATATAAGAATATTAAGGATTATCTTTGTTCCTGTTCTACATCTCTCTCTCTCTCTCTCTCTCTCTCTCTCTCTCTCTCTCTCTCTCTCTCTTCCCCCCCATGATATATTATTTTTTGGTGGGATAGGTTATTCATGTAACTATTGGAATAATGTATAAATCTGCAGGATGAGCATCTGATAAATCATATTGTTAAGAACAACCTTCTCAAGCCGATTGTAGGTGCATTTGTTGGTAATGGAAATCGATATAACCTGCTCAACTCTGCTGTTTTAGAACTTTTTGAGTTCATTCGGAAGGTTCCACTCTCTTTTAGACCTTATTATTTGGAGATAAAGCATGTCTTGAAGTTATCGTCTAATCCATGCTTTTGTTTTTGCAGGAAAATCTGAAAGCATTGGTCAAATACTTGGTTGATTCATTCTGGGATCAATTGGTCAAATTTGAGTTTTTTGCATCCGTTCAAGCACTAAAAGTAAAATATGAGCAGGTACTATACTCCTTCTAGAGTTCTTCCACTCCTAGATTTAGAGCTTTTGTATTGACAAGTTGACAAGTGCTTTTGCAGTGCCTAGAAAGTTTTGGACCAAAAGGAAGCGCCAATGTGTCAGACCCTAGAAAACGAACTGATGAGCGCGCTTTGGAGAAAGAAGAAGAAGATTATTTTAATGAGGACAGGTATGTTTTTGTGCTGAACGTCTATTGAGATTGACAGCACTCTTTGCTGCTAAGTTTTGCTACCCATAGCCACTGAATATGGAACTTGGTAATCAGTGATGAAGAAGATACAGCATCTGCATCCATGCCAAACACCCAAAAAGTACAGGCACAACCTCAGCCTGTATTATCCAATGGTGTTGCTGCAAACCATCCACCATCCAGGTATTGTACTGTTTGTATTTAGAATAACAGAGTGCATTTTCAGAATATTTTTGCTATTTAACCCGTACTTTCATCTTGAATTTTGTAGTCCAAGGTCTGTCGGGCTGGTAGATTATGATGATGATGAGGATGACGAAGACTACAAGCCACCGCCCAGGAAACATCCCGAAACCTCCGATGAAGATGAAGGAACAATGGAGTCCCTTAGGTTGAAGCGGAAATTGGCTTCTAAGGATAGGGAGCCCGAGCTTGCAAAGAGGCAACGGTTAGGTAAAAACTCCAAGCCAAAAGAAAGTGTGTTTGCTGCTTTGTGTACAACTCTAAGCCAGGCAGTGCTACCGAATAAGAAAACTGCAAGCAACATGCATGCAACTCACACAGCTGATGGGGTCAGCAACTCAGGTGAAGGGAAAAATCAAGAAAATGAGCATGCTATTTCTAGGAGCTGTGCTGATAGCAACAATTCAGAGGATGAGGATAATAGAGAGAAGGAGCCTGCCACTTCCAGAGGCTGCTCCGATCGCTTGCATGGCGCTTCGGAGAATAGACAGTTGGGTGGAGAGGACTGCCCATTGATACCACCGAAATCCTCACCAGAAATGGCTGTAAATGGATCCTGAGTTGTTTTTTAGAACCATAGCCAGTGCAGTTACTACTTTGTGTTCTTGATGCAACTTGTGAATGTGTGCTTGGTGCCAGAAAGAGGTCCTAGGCAACAGATGAACAACATACTTTGAAAGAGAGGAAGTGAACCCGCAGAAGAGGATGAATTTTGGTCTATGGCTGGCTTCCATCGATGGTAGGAGCGAATACTGTATAGTGTGCCATTGCGACGCGGAAAAAAGAAAGTCATACTCTCACAATGTGGGGCCTGTCTTCTCTTCTTCACTTGGCCTTTTTGAGGCTTTGAAGTATTTGCTTTTGTAAAACATTCAATCAGCATTTGATTTTCTATATCCAATTTTATCTTTTTTGCTTTTCGTTTTTGAGGTTCCCCCCTTTGTTCACAAGTTTGTGTTTCTTAATTTTGGCTCTTTTTTGGCTTGTGATAGATAGGGCACCAATACGTGCCCTGTATGGTGGTGGGTATCCCTCTGATGTTAAAAAAGTTTTAGTGGTGGGTGAGTGTGGTTGTAATAGAGGGTGTGAGAGATAGGGAGTGGGTTTAGAGGCCAATTTTCGTCAAATGTAGTAGTATGAGTGGAAATTTTCGATTTGTAGCTCACTGTAAATTAGTTATTGACTTTATAATTATCCAAGAAAGCTTTTGGAAGGTTTTCAGTCTGCCTTATTAGCCTGCAACCCCAAAAACCACAAGTGTGCAGTAATTGTAATTTGTAGGCGGCTCCATTCCGCAAGGAAATGTTTCGAAACAATGAAGGCGTAGAATAAAGGAAGCAATGAATAGAGGAAGCTAGGTAAGCGAACTAAGGAATTGGAATTGGATTAACTACTCTACTTAGTTGGTTCCATTTCTAATTTTTAAAGTATTTAATTATGAATTTTAATGTGGAATCCACATACTTCTTGGGTGTTTATAGTAAAATGTTTTAGAAAGTATCCTCTGAGGGAGTATATTTATAGTAAATTGTTATAGTAAGTATCCTCTGAGGGAGTATATTTTCCCACTCGCTCATGTAAATGAACAAATGGAGAGTGGAGCCCAAAATTAACGCACGAGTCCTAGTTAGAACCTAGATGTGTGTCTTAGTTTAATTCACTCAGTTTTCAACAAACTAATCATGTATTTTCTCCATTGGGGGAGGGTTAAGCGAAGTGAGAAACTGGTTGCAGGGGAAGGGGGACAGGTGGCGAAGCAGTTGCAAAGGAGACGCCTCCAAGTTCGCAGAAGAAAGACACGTACGTGGGTACGTGTGTACGTGGCAGGTAGACGTGTCCACTCTGACTTGCTTTGTTCTGTTCTCCTGTTCATAAGTACCATGTACTATCTATCTTCACTCTTGGACCAAAAATCTATCTTCACTGCATCATCAGTTGCATCGTACAGAGAACCTCATATCCTTGTTTCTTTCTTTTGATACATACCTATATATAAAAATAATCAGGGAAGGAAAGGAAGGGGTGTAGAGAGAGAAAACAAATCATCAAAGAAATAAACAAGTATTGAAGTGAATGATGAACACGAGCAGCAGTAATTTGGAAACAAGGCCGGCCTTGCTTCAGGAGCTGCGTAGCTTCGAGAAAGGTGGCTTCTTCGACTTCGGCCACCCTCTCCTCAACCGCATCGCTGAGAGCTTTCTCAAAGCTGCTGGGGTCCTCTTCTCTCTCTCTCTCTCTCTCTCTCTCTCTTCTTGTTGTATGTACATGTGTGTGTATATATATATCTTCATGTGTATGTACGTACGTAGAATATGTGAGATGAGCATTGTGTTAATAAGGCTGGTTCTGTTGGTTGCTGCAATCGACAGATCGGAGCTATTCAGGCCGTGTCACGTGAGGCTTATTTCACAGCCACTGAAGGTGCCTTAATTTGTCCTCTTCCAACTTCTTATATATATGTTGCTTCTTCATTTCACTATATATTCTCATTTATTTCCTTCTGCTTTGAGTTTCTTTTTCTTGGTATTATTTCTGTTCTCTCTTTTGAATGAGTTGTAGCCTCTCTTTTGGTTTTGGCTTGGGATGTTCACTATTATTCTTGTAAGGTGCAGGACTTGATTCAAGCGGTGGCGGTATCCCGCCGGAAATCTCAGGCAACAAAAAGCATCGCTTCCCTGACCTCAGAGGTATATGTTATGTTAATTTCTCCATTGTTTCATTGAATCTGGTCATCTCCTCTCTCATTTTCTTATCAAACCATTCATTCTAATTTTTCCTTCCAAATTAGTTGGTGGGGGCTCAGTTATTTGCATTGCACGATTGTCTCAAGTGATTGTTTTATGTGCCTTTTGCAGGTGAAAACAATACAAAATCTCTCGAGGCTATGGTGAGTTTAAAGTTAACATTCAATTCAACCATGTATTTTCATTGTAATTAGGACTTTTACCCTCTACAACAGGAGAACCAATGATTCAGCTAAGCCGTGCCTCATATATGCCCACCTAAATTTCGCCTTATGTTCTCTATTGATCGTTTGGAACTCAAATTTATTCACCTGCATCCAACACCAATCAGTTTAATAAACGATAAAGAGCTCCGGTGTCGATCGTTTTATTAACAAATCACCATGCTCTGCAAAATTCACTGCTCTGGCCTCTGGTCATGACTGATGATGTAGTTAGTAGTTGCTGATTAGTCGTCATACTGTTTTTCAGGTGAAGCATACTGGAAAGGAATCTTTGCAATGGGGTTAGTAGATTTTATATTTGAATTACAAGCATGAAATTGCATAAGCTTACACAGTAGCCAAGGCTAATGATTGATTGTAATTCGTTTCCCCCCGATGAAATAAAGCTCTGGATTTCAGTTTCTCCTGCTTATGATCGCGTGTAGCACAGTAGAAACTCGAAGGAAGGGAGCTAACAACTTGTTTTCATATCAGGGCTGGCTGCAGGGGTGTATTCAGGTCTCACATATGGACTGACAGAGGCTCGTGGGGCGCATGATTGGGTATGGTTATATAATTTTTTTGGTCTCTATGATGAACGCTTCAGCATTAGGCATGCTAAGAATTCCTACTTTTATGGTGCGTGCTTAAAGCGATTATTTCTTGGTAATTTGCTGCAGAAAAACAGTGCAGTTGCCGGAGCGATTACGGGGGTGGCTCTGGCACTCACATCGGAGGGGTCGTCCCACGAGCAGATTGTGCAAGGTGCTATAACTGGAGCTGCCATATCCACTGCTGCAAATATTCTCTCTGGAATATTTTAGGCTGCTGATTGGGGTAGGATAATGTGGAGATGTGATTTGCTGTTGGATGCCATATCCACAGAGAGCTTTTCTTTGATAATGTGGAGATGTGATTTGCTCCATCTCTTGTTTAAGAAAACTTCTGGTTAGGATTTTTGCTTTTGGATCGGTTAATCATCACCATAAAGAATTTTCAGGGTCTACTAGACCTTTTTTCTTGTATGGTTTTTGCGTAAACTTCACTGGTTTAAATGTTGGGTTATTGAAGTTCTTTTTTGTGTGGTTAATCCTACAAGATTTTAAGTCTTAATTCTAATACAACCTTGAGATGTTAAGATCATTTCACAATGATAGAATCACTTGGATCACAGAAAATTACATAGATGAGAACTTTCTTACAGGTTCATTTTACAAGGTAAACCCAGAGAACAATGATTTTGGTCTTTCCAAGCAGAACACCTTCAACAGTTTTAAGGACTTTTAGGAACATAACCAACTTTAAGGACTTTTATATTAAAAAACACCAGCTGCATGCATTCTATGATCTGAAAATATCCCACTTCCCACACTGAAAAACTAAAAACATTTTAGACTAGTATTGGCATTTGGACAATTTGGGTGTGAGCCTTGAAATCCTGGCTTTTGAGTGGGGATTGACATTTTGGAGTATTGGGTGTGGATTTGACATTTTGGGGGTCTTGGGGAAATCCTAAAATCCAAACCTCAAAATGTTGAATCTACACTTGAAATCTCAAAGAGTCTCTATTGGAATTCAACTTTTTTATAAGTTAATTTCACTTTTTCATGAACATTATACTTTCAATTTGGGTTTTAGTAAAGGTAGTTTTGGATTGGAATGTAGTTATGTATAATTAGATTCTCTTTTAAACTCAAAATACAAAAAATCAAATCTTGTACCCCAAAACATCAAAATCCACATCTCAAACCTTAAAACTCTGAAAGGTGAATGTCCATCTCTCAAACTCTGAAGTGCAATGGTGCTAAAGACCTATAAACTCCGCACATTAAAATATAGTCTTTATACAAATTCATTACCATCAAGTATGACCCAATTTAGCTACCATATTGAAAATTTTCAAAGTGAACGTAAGGTAGTGTAAACAATTGACTCATATCATAACACATGCATATTTATTAGTATATGTACTTTAAAATTTTGGAATTGCATTTATAATTCAGCTATAAAAAAAAAACCATTAGCTACAAAGAGCCAATACAAATTAGCCACAAAGGGCAATTACAATAACAGAGCGATCTAACATCAAAATTAAGACAATCTGAGGCTCCTTCACTAACGATCACGCATGATCGAAGAAACTTTGGCATATGCATCTCAATTAAGAGTGCAAACTTAGAACAACCAAAAAGAGATAAAGTGTTACCCATCTCTTGTTTTTATTATAACAACGGTGTTATGGTCAAAACTAAAATGTCACTATCTAATAAACCCTTTTATGTTATAACTAGCCACTTCATTTGTGCTAAAGCTTGTGCCAATATCTTTAAATATAACAGAAAGCCTTAGAGGTGAAACATTCAAAATCTCACAAACTGTCTTTGGTTAATGACTATGTTCAAAGCAAATGCTCTTAATTAAATAAAAATAAATTAGTACATTCTATTTAAACTAATTAAAAAAAAGAACATGTTATGCAGTTGCTATAAAATTTGGAGACAACCACCTCCAAAACTTTAACCCTCCGTTTGAATGAGGAAAAATAACTCGGATTTAGCTAAAAGACAAAAATTTAAGAGGATAAATTGAAAATTCCCTTGTTTGGCAACCTAAGCCCGGAATTTATTAAATGAGGCTTGGAAAAAATCGTCAAAATTGGAGCATCAAATTTCTGAGTTTAATTTCCACCAAAATATGCTTCATTTTACAATTTTCGTAGTGCGGGAAATTGGGGTATTTTGAATATTTTCTTTTTTAAAAAAACGTTATAAAACTCAGATTTTAAAGATTAAAAAGAAAAAAAAATCCAATTGACAAACGTTCTAGTTTATCTTGAATATAAACTATTATTTTATGTATTTGTTCTTGTGTTTGAAAATTTATAGATACCGTTCATATTCTTTTTTTGTCGAAGATGAACGAAACCAATCAAATATTGATTCATGCCGTGCCAAAATTAATTTTTGCGTGTCAATATAAATAAAAAAAACGACTGCTTTTCTCTGTTGAGCCGCCTAAATCCTAATAATACTAAAATAAAGGCAACCAAATCCATTTTCCCCCAACCAAAATCAACAGCGTTGTCCCTTATTCAAGCTCCCGCAGCGAAATCCAACCGCAAGAAGGTAACTTTTTTTGAAACTTTTGGGAATTTTTTTTTCTTTATATAATTGTTATATGTTGGTTTTGTACGAAATTTATTTGTAAAGGTGCTTCCTTGAATTGCCCTAATCTCTCTCTCTGCAACAGTTTCTGCTAGATCGGTAGGGAAGAAGCCTTTATCTTTTCCTTTTAGTAGTTTGGGTTCTCGATTGTGTGTGAATGTGGAAAATCTTGGGTCTTTTTTTTTTTCTGAAAAAATTAGTGTAATGTTGATGTTGCTTGAACGTGTCGGCCTTAGCAGTTTGAGGGGAAAATCATTTAGGTTGCAGTGTCCCCGACTTAAAAAAAGCTGAGGTTGATATTGTTGAAGAAATGCGTAATGCATTGGAATGACTAAGTTGAAAAGATGGAACGAAGAAAAGTTTTGATGCTCCTATACTTTTTTTTTCTTATTTCCAAGATAATGTATAGTATAATGATTCTTATAGAAATTGCCTAACTTTTTAGAGGGAGATCTTGTATAACATTTGTTTATCACAGATAAATTATCGTCTAATAACTTTTAGTTCTATGTTATAGTAGATTTTAGCCAATGTTGGTCATTGTTGATCGATTTGGCAGTTTGAAACTTCTTTCTGCTATGCTTTGTTGGCCATTGTTGTTGGTTTTAATAGTTTATTTAAATGTTTCTCTTTTGCCCCTTCTCCCTTTTCGTTCTTGATATTCACTTAAAAACTACTTGTTTAATTCTGAGATTTTTTGACATGGTTGACCCGCACACTGATATTCGATGAATGTGAATAACCTAATTAATGTTTAAATGCAGGGTGTTAGAGCATCTGGGAATCGTGGTATTGATATTTTCTTGGAACTTCAGGCAGTTGGCCTTCGCGGAGTAGGCAATTGTCCGTATTCATATTTGAACATTGTGATTTAGAACATGTTGGGTAAAAAAGAAGAGAAATCTCAGGCTGCTGCTGAAAGGATCAAGGCTGCAGCCTTGAGTGCTGCAAAAGGTCTTAGTCGAGCTCAGGCTGAAAGGGCAGCTGCTTCTGCTGCACGCAACGTTAATGCTTATGGGCAGAAGGAAGAAGGTCCCAGCAGATGGCAGGAGAAAAGGGAAGCCAAGAGACAGATGTATTTGATGAGTACTGAAAAGGCAGTAAGATTGGGTGAACGAAAAGACCTTAAGTCGAATCTAACTACCATTAGTGGTGCAGCTTCACAATGCCAGAAGTGTTTCCAGCCCGGGCATTGGACATACGAATGCAAGAATGAACGTGTTTACATCTCGCGACCGTCTAGGACCCAACAACTCAAGAATCCTAAACTGAAGATGAAGGTCTCAGTATCCTACGATTTGGATATTCCAGGTATTAAGGAAGAGAAGGGTGAAAAGCAGTCAAATAAAAGCAAGAGGAAGCATCAAGCAGCTTCTGATTCTGGCAGTGATAGTGAGGCTTCAGTTTTTGACACTGATAGTGGGGCATCATCAATTACAGGATCTGATTATTCTTCAGAGGAGAGTAGTTCTGATTACAGTTCATCTTCTGATTCAGAGGAGGAAAGGAGGCACAGAAGGAAGAAAAAGAAGCAAAAGATGGGAAGGCGGCGGAGAAGGAACAGCTCATCATCTGAATCTTCTGAGACAGAGTCAGCTTCCGAATCTGATTCTGATGATAGGAGGAGCCGGAGGAAGAGCAGGAGACACAGCAGAAAGCGTTAATTGATGTGATGGAGCATAAAGGAGAGCGCTTGTGTATGGTTCTTCAAGATATGTTACGTTCAAATTAGTTCAGTTGTGATTTTGGGGCTTCCTAGATGAAGGATTATCCATGGTCTGAAGCAAAATAATCTTTGTAGGTGTTTCTTGTGATGTCGTACTTTGTGACCCTTGCTTTATTTGAACTTGCACTGTACTTGGGGTACTGTTTTTATAGATCAAGTTCTTATTTGGTAAATTTCCATTGTTTTTTTTTCAACAACTTTTAAGTTGGTTATATACAATGGAAGCTGCGATTTTGCATTGATCCAAGGATAGGTCTAGGCCTCTGCCTAAATTGTTGCAACTCCTTCTGGTATTTGCCGGGCTTAAAGGGGATGAGATTAACAGTTTATTGAACTCCATTGATTTGTGTTATGTCATCAATCATTATGCTTGTGGGCTAAAGCTCTGAAGGGCTTACAGTTCATGAAGACATCAAAGCCAAATTTGATATTTTGTTGTAAAAGAAAAAAGAAAATAGCTTATTAGGAGATCAATTTATGCAACCAAAGTAATAAAGAATATAGCAGACATGGGTTTCAAGTTGACTAGAGTATATGTGCTTCCCATTCTACACCTGAGTTCGAATACCCCTCCTCATAATTTAGATTATATTAAATAGAATATTGTTTGTATAAAAAAAAAAAGTAAAAAAGAATGTAACCCCACTGAAAATAGAAAAAGAGACTATTTAACTTGGAGCAAAGTTATCAGAGGAGGAAAACATAGCTGCTAAAGCTTTGGGCCTCCAACATAACTCTTATAAATACTTTGGGCCTTTAGGCCTCAAAGTTTCCAGTTTACCGAAAATACCCTTAAAATTTCTTTAGAAGAACTCAGTGAAGCAGTGTGGTGCCGCCAGAGGAAACATCTGGGAGGAGCTACAAAGGAGAGCTGAGAACCCGCCCTTCGCCAAAAGCAAAGAACTCAAAACACAGAGACCTCTCCAAACCCCAAAACCTCGAGCTTTTTCAAAATGAGTACCATGAAATTTTGCCGCGAATGGTCAGTAAACTCAGCATTTATCGTCTTTCTCATTCACAATCACATGCACAACAAACCCTGATTTTTAAAACTTGTTTGAGAATTTTATTTTTGCAGCAACAATATCTTGTACCCAAAAGAGGACAAGGACCAGAAGATCCTCCTCTATGCGTGCCGCAACTGCGATCACCAGGTAGCTCATTCTTTCTATGTCTCCTTGGATTTTAATTTTAATTTTTTTCAAACTATGTTTTCAAAGTCTGCAATTTCAATGTGAAACCCACATGCCTCCACGTAATGTGGGCTCTCAGTAAACTTTGTTCTTCTGCTCAGTACTTCCAACTACACTTGCCCAAATGCATCATAATCTCATTTATGTAATTAGGATTAACATCTGAAGATTTTCTCAATGAGGGGATTTTATTTTATTTAATTTTTTGGGGTGTAGTGCATTAAAAATTCTATATCTTTTTAGAACTGTGTCTTATTCTGATAACCACCTTTTTATTGGAGAGTTCCCATTAGCTTTTACTTCTTTCTTTATGGGTCATGCAAAAAATTTGTACCCGGGAGAAGTATCTGATTATTCAGGCCTTCTCTGTATGTTATCTTATGAAGTTTCTTTCTAGAGTCTAGCTTGAGTCTTCGGGTTGCTCTGTGCTCTAATCACTTTGCTGTACTGTAGGGTTTTATCACTTCTGGTTAAAGGTCTCTTCGTGGTTCCTCCTTCATTTTATATAATTGCTTACTTATTAGATGGTTTTTTTTTTGGTTTTGTTTGCAGGAGGTTGCTGACAACAACTGTGTCTACAGAAATGAGATACACCATGCTGTTGGGGAACGCACTCAAGTATTGCAAGATGTAGCTGCAGATCCAACTCTCCCTCGAACCAAAGCAGTGCGCTGTTCAGAGTGCAAGCATGGAGAAGCTGTCTTCTTTCAGGTTAATAACCAATCCTCTATATGTTGCATTGAATTTTATTGCTAGTTTTGAATTTTCATTTAACTTTTTCAATTACACAGGCATGTGCACGTGCACACACGCATATATAGAGAGAGAATGAGCGAGAGAGAGGTGTCTAACAATGTGACTTTAAAATTTTAATGTCACAGAACATATTTTTACCCTTTACTAGTGTGTTGAAATGCCAACTGTTAATAATTAAATCTCTATCATTTAACGGTTGGATTTTCATGACAACTTGGAATCTAGTATCTATCTTATTGAATACTTACCATCAGGGAACCGAAAAAAGAGAGAAAAAAAAAAACGTCGGGATACTATCATAGCTTAGCTACTTTACTAATGCATCAGTGAAAAGATTTTCATGTATTCAATGCTTTCTACTTTAGTAATTAAAAGTTATTATGACCTTTTTAGACTTAAATCATCGCTTGCCTTTCAACTCAGGTATCGATTTTCATGTATTCATTGCTTTCCACTAGTATTGAGCTCTAGTTTTGTGTTATCCTAGACAGTGGGCCACGTGTACTGCAACATATACCATTTTGAAAAATCAGATTGAACTCACTGCACTCCGTAGCTGTTTGTTTACTCTATTTAATTGCACTCCTTGAACGGCTGAACCAAAAACTCTTAGTAATCTCTGAACAACTTTGTCTGGTTTACTGTGCTTCTAATGCTATAAGTTTGTTATGCATGTGCAGGCAACTGCTAGAGGAGAGGAGGGTATGACATTGTTCTTTGTTTGCTGCAACCCCAGCTGTGGCCATAGGTGGCGAGACTAATATTTACGTACTCCTTTTGTGTGCTCGGATTTCATCCTATCAAAAAGATGTATTGTTCCCCAAAACTGTAACTTTAGGAAGGAGACTCTGACATGGAGGTTCTAAAGACTTGTTGAGTTAATTGTAAAATGTTTAGTATTAAAAAAACACAGGCAGTCCTGCTTGCCCTTGCATTTGCTTGGACTATCGTTCAATATAACAGTTGCCCTTTTTTTCTTTTTGATTGGGAGTGGATCAAACAATTACTTTCTTCATAATTGGACATTTTGTCTGTGAAAATAGTCTCTAGAGTGGTTTTCTTAGAAACACCACCTGCCCGAATGCTCAATTCGAATCTCTATTTGTATTGTGGGCGAGGGGTTAGGTAGGAAGCTATAAGGCAACCATGAATAAGGAAGATATAAGTTATGCATTGAAATGAAAAATAACACCGATGCATGCGAGACTATTAAGACTGAAATCTCTCCTCTTTTTCCTTTGTTATAATTAATGATCAAAACCGAGTATGTACAAGAATGAATTCTCTGGTGGAAAATTTACAAGACCACCAGCTATTTGCCTCTGCGATCTTTCTTGCCTTCTAAAAAGAACATCCAAAAGGTTAACGCATTTCCAAAATTGAACCTATGGTACAATGGAAAAGCCTCTTTAAGGTAAGTAAAATATCTACAAAAAATTAAAGAAGAAGAAAAAGAACATCAAGGGGCAAAAACCCAGATGGTCTGCTTCAACTCATTAATGAATCAATTTCTTTATGAAACTATAGGTGCTACAAGGATGATATTGTCTGTGTGAACCACTCTGATATGCATTTCAATTTCGCTAAAAGCTCTTTATCTGATGCGCGCTTGACCGCATTGCTTTCAAGATAGGTTTCAGCATTTAACAACATGACCTTAAAGTCATGCTGTAGTGCTTCCAAATTTCGATAGTAGTTGTTCTCTAACCTAGACTGGATCACGTCAAGAGATATTGGAACCGCACACCTGAGAAAATTCCAAAACACAAAACCACATTTCAAAATCTCAGATAGCACTTGAGAGAGAAATTCCATCATGGAGCATGCATGCCATTGAAATCGAACACAACATAACGGGAATGCTATAATATAACAAAGAATACCAGTTCGTAAACTTTGGCTTCTGTTGAAGTTGCTTCAGTTTATCAACCCCAAAAGAATCCTGAATTGTACACAACGAAATTGAGAAAAATCCTTGTAAGTCTTCAAAAAGTTAGCCAATTGCAGCATTTAACAAATTAATTTTCAAACTATAAAAAGTAAAGGGTGTTTTTCTCTCCTTAATACCTGGCGACTCTCAGCAGATCGCTCTAGTTTGGCAAAGGCAGAAAGCAGCTTCATTTTGCTCTTATTATCAATGCGAGGCAGCTCCCATTGAGTATTGGAGTCAAAAAGCTCCCAAGGACTATGTAGCTGTGCATCACTAGGATCACACTTGTACTGAACAGTATACATCTCCCATGGACTGTCGGGGAAGTTGGTAGATTTAGACTGTTTCAGCTTAATCCTCCCCTCCCACCACTTACCATCATCCTCACCCTCATTTTTCCACCAGACTTTGCAATGATCCCTACATGCCCAATTTCTCTCTATAGAAGAGACATAGCGAGTTCTTTCGACAATGAAGTCTGGGAAACCAGTAACTTCAGGCAGAGTCATTTTGAAATATTTACCATACACATCAGAAGAAGGATCTACAAATTGAAGTGTCAATTTGCAGCAGCTATCCCCAGACCCTGCAAGTGAAGAATACTCCAGGTCTTCAACTTTGCAAAATTCTACAGCTCTTATCCTCCCCTTTATAAATGTCCACGGTGGGTTTTCTCTCAATCCACCAAGTTCGAAATACTCCTGATGCCCCTGGTAAGAAAGGAAAAAGAAAAAAAGGAGGTTACCAAGCTATGCGATATAATCAACATTCACATGACAACCAAAACCAAAACAAAAAAGGGCAGTCCAGTACAAGCTCTGGCTAATGTAGGGCCCTGGGACGGTAAAGCATACACAGCTATATCCCTGTTTCCAGAGATGCTGTTTATGCGACTTGTGTAGGTCGCTTAGGGTAAGCCATAGGTTTGCACCGAGGCACAATCTCATGTCAAAACCAACCTACCCGCCCCTTGAAAAGGAAAAATAAAAAGGGAAAAAGACCAGCAGCAATTTATAAAGAAACCTGTCTCAAATAAACAACTTCATCCCCTAACTGGGGAATATATCGTGAGCTCTCCTCATGTGTTGACAACATTAACCATGATACTTTCCTTGCTGACTGATGCGACTTCCTTCTGTCCATTGGATTCATGTCACGGTAACTGCTTCTTCTGTTTCTAGTAGACCTCAATCCGACTGTTGTCCTTGAACTTGATCCTTGTTCTTCATTCCGAAGTTGAAATTTGTCCATGGAACTTTTCTGGTTACTTCTAAATGTATAACCTGGCTCATGTCCTTGGCCCATCTTATCATCATGATCTGCACTACTTGGATCACGTGCAGATGCCTTCAACCCCATGGACCGTGTCCTGCGACCTCCATCAACTGAGTCATCATGAAAGTCCACTCCAGCAATGAGATTGTGGTTGCTTGTATTTGAAGTATATAAACAGCCTTCTTCCTTGACGCCACTATCACCTTCTAAATTAATTCTACCCCTATGTGGTTTCACCCTTCTATAAACAGCACTGAACATTTTGTTTTTATGTAAATGGGACTCGACTGATTCATGTATACCAGAAATGACATTCTTATCGGATTGATTGTCTGATTCTCGTGAGCCATTATATCTATCATCTGGAATAAATTTAGGGGTTCCATCATCCTCCGGCACAACTGGATCCTGTTCCATGCTTGAAAGGCTTTCATGTAATGTGTTACATCTACCATTTTCCAAGTTCTCTACCACAGAGAACATTTCCTGTTTGCAAGGACTAGGATCCCTTGAAATCCTCCTCAACCTCAATTTTGTTGAGACAGTTGTGAGCTTCTCATTTTGTTCAGAAGAGAAAACAGTCCTGTCCTTATCAAGGCATGAGGAAGTGCTTGCATCCCAAGGAGCCATGTGAACAGATTTAGGCGATTGATCATGATCCTTGCATTCACTAAAACCTGATTGCTCTTTGGCATTGGTTTCACCATTAAGGCCCTCAGAGGTACTAGCCCAAATGGTTTCCTTATTCCCTACAGCCATTGTATCTCCATACATTTGGCTTTCTGATTGAGGTGACATGGTTCCAAAATCATTTTCAGGTTTTGTGTACTCTTTTTCGTTGTGACCAATGACGATTGCACTGGCTCTGGCAAGTGCATCCAATGACATGGATTCTCCCGACCTCAGACGCTTAGATGTTCGCACTCTGGACCCTCCCCAACTAATTCTCCCATTTTTGTAATTCTCAGTCAAATCTACATGATTTTCTACTTTGTATAATTGCCCACCCACTGCTGTCTCAAATATGCTGCATTTTTCATCACCAGGTGAGGACCCTGGATCCTGAGAGCTTATATTGTTGTTTGCTTCAGTTGCTTCTCGAGGTACTCTACATGATTGGTCAACCAAATCATCCTGATTACCACAATTATGTACTGTGCTTTCTCTAGGCACAAGCTTATTTGAGTCCCGTCTTGGCAATTTAAGCACCAATCTCCTCCTGTTCCCAGCATTAATTGGAAATTCAGGACGTTCATTAGGTTTAACCATGTCCTCAGACTCATCCAATGAAACCTCTTTTCCTTTTGAATGTTTGGTTTGCTGATTTTGTTTATCGGATCCATCACTCTCAATGTTTGAGTCTTGCAGGGTGGATTCACTTCCTGACATATCATCTTCTGATCCATCTTCATCTTCTCCATCTGCAGATCTTCCAGTAATCTTTGAAAATAGAGTAAGAGCGTTGAGTGCGGCAGCTCTTTGAGGTCTCAATGACTTTGATGTGGAAGATTTCTTTCTTGAAGCTTTTCGGCCATGTCTAGATTTCCTCGTTCTATTACTTCTGAATGGATTGCTAGCACACTCATCCAAATTCTTTCTTTTGACACACCTTCCAGAAGAACTCATGACTTCAACCTGAGGAAACAGAAAGGGAGAACATTAAAGCAGATTCAAGCAGGTCCTAACCAAAACTAAACTATAATTTGTTATTGACAGAGAACTTACATCAGCCTTTTGTTTTTTCCTTTTAGATCTACGAAGTCCATCCATTTGAGCATCCTCAGCCTCGCTGTCTTCTTCACTGCACTCTGGATCAATAGAGGGATTTGAACTTAAACTTCCTTGCTCCCCTCCAGTAGAATAATCTTCAGTAATATTGTACTCTGAATCAGTATCATCACTTTGCATTTCATTTTGTGGTTCCCAATCCATGGCATCTACAAACTCTGGCATAGGCTCAGCCAACATATCCAAGTCTGCAATAGGCAGCATTTGGAAATCCGGATCTACGCTGAAGTCAGGCCCAACAGCAAGTCTTAGAGAGGAAGGACGCCACTCGGAACCCAAAGCTCCTAACCGCCTTTTCTGGTATGCACTCTGGTAGGGTTCTTCATATGGTATCATTCCTAGGTTTTCACCATAAACCAGTGTTTGAGAAAATAAACATTCCAGAAGAGATAAATTTCATACAGGGAAAGGAGTAGAGAGAAACCTGAATCGCAAAGTAGATCCTGCATATTCCGCCGGTATGCTGAAAGCTGAGTTTCCTGAATCAAATGTTGCAGATAATTTCAAACTAACAAGCATTGCAAATATATATTTGGAATGAAGTTATGGTAAGTCAATCATGCATATACATCTATACTATTATAGAATGGCTGGCACTGGGTTTTGGCTCACTTAAACTATCAACTCTCTAAGAAGAAATTTGAACATTGGTCCTACTATCACGAACAGTTAAACTAATTTCTCTCAGCCAGTCCTCTGCATGCAGTTACCATCAAAACCACCACTGAGACCACACACAGAGTGAATGCATAACTAAGAGAGAAAAATAAAGAATCCAAAGAGCCTTTGTCATGCATGGAACTGTGCGGCTAAATGAGGGGTCTTTATGTATGGATCAATAAGACATGAAAAGGAACAGACACGACAGGTTCACCTGAGTTTATTATGGTACTAGTGATGTAAAGTGCAGCACAATTCATTTAACACTCCCTACCATTGAATCATTGCTTATGTAGTTTATTCATCTCCTTGAACTAACCAGAAAAGGAAAACCAATTAAGAACAATAGTGAAAATGGCCAACTAACCTGGTCAAGAACATTTCCAAAGCTATCATGAATGATTGGGCGATAATCACCAAGAAAAAACTGCCAAAGAAGAGCACCAGCAATAAGTACCACTTGGGAAAAAATTGTAAAAGAAATCCCCCAACTCATTAAGTAAAATTATAACCAAATATTCAGTATTAAGTAAAAAAAAAAGGACGGGGACAACCATACCTGGTCATATTTTGCATCATTGTGCGACTCCCCCTGGCCACTGTCCAATATGTATAGCTGGCCAACATCATCAGAGAGGATAATTGACGTCCCATCCCTAAATTACAGAGAAAGAACCCTTTGTAACTACAGGAAAACAGTTAGGAAGGCAAAAGCATATTGCAAGAAATACAAGCTCGAAAGAAAAGAGAGATATTGTTTTGGGGGGAATGTCAACTGATAGGATCTGCCATGCAAATGAGAAGCAAAAACGACTAATCAGCATGGCAGTAAGGATTCAACGCATTGCAAGGTTGAAAGCTACATAGGACTATGGAAAGCTAAGGCAGAAAATACTATATAAAGTTGGAAGCAGTTTCAATAATATTCTGAAGAGCAAGAGCAAGATATCATATAGCCAATTTGAGTACCAATGAAACAGGATTCCATTCAATTATAATTAGATAGAAAATAGATAACATTTTAATGTCAATACAATAAGAATGGTATAAAATTTCCAAAATCAAGATTTCTTATTCTTCACTTACGGTGAAAACTTTCCGTCTACCAATCTGAACTGTGACGTTTCAAATATCCGGATAGGCATGCCTTCCCATATCTGAAATTGAAAGTCAACAAAGCATTCAAAACCATAGAACATATAAAAAAATTTGCAAGTATGATAAGGAAACTGGAAACTCACATCCCAGACAATTGTTTTTCCGTCATAGCCAGCACTCATTGCTATCCTGGGGTTGAAAGGATGAACATCCAGAACATATGTCTATCAAGAACACAAGTTAATAATATCAGATATTTAATTTTACTTGTTCGATAGGTAAAGTACCCAAACAACAAACCAGCTAAAGATATCTTCGAAAGAGGAGTGGCAGAAGTAACCAATTGATGAACATGTGAGTAATGGAGGTATAGGTAGGCAATATTAGCATAAGTAACCAATTCATGAACACCAGCTAGAAGACTAGAATACTAAAGCAGGATATTGGGCAAACAATAAACAGTAAAACCAGTCCCCTATGTAAAAAGGCCACAGTTGTTCTGCAGCAGTAAGACATTGTAGGTAAGGCAACAATAAATAAACAGGCTTAATTACTATAGTGTGCACTAAGATCAAAGAATAACCAACACCAAAGACAGTATCCACAACAATTCTGTGTCATGTTAAAAAAAAAACTAATATGGTACCAGATATATATTTGTTCCACTTGTGGAAACACACACTACAGAACTCAGTCTATTCACCATGCTTCTCTTTGCAAGGTCAAATAACAAAATACTGGAAAAGAGAGAAAAAAAAGGGCAATCGAGAACAAAGAGAATGAGCAACATACAGATTCACTGTGACCTGTCAGTGAATGCACCAAGCTACCATCAGATGCATTCCATACACATATTCTGCAATCTGCACCACAAGAAGAATATCCATTTCTTAAACTACAGAATTTAAGGCCTTCAACTTAATCCTAGTTTGTAAAGGCATTAGAAAAATACTACATAATGCATATCAGTAATATACTAATAAATAGACAATAAGTAAGAAACAACAAAGTAATTACCCATGATAGCAGCAAGGACAAAGCGATTGTCAAGACTCCAGGTAATCATATTAACACCACGAGGAGTTGGAAGAATTCTCTGGCGTGGGCCTCCTCGTGGAGGCTGAGGAGGCATTGGTGGAGGGGGAACTTTCAGATGATATGCCCGCGTCCAACGACCAGCTTTTCCCTGGAACATGAAATTAGCCATATGATTTTTCTATTTAAAGCAGAAAAATTCAAGAGAAAGAAGGTGGATACAATTGTTTCATTTGAAAAGCATTCTGAGAAAAAGGGCAAGAACAGGAAGTTACAAGTTATCTTTCCAAAAACTTACATGTGATCTTCGTGATCTAGGAATCCAGATAATTGCACTCCCATCGCGAGAACAAGTAACTATATTGTCATGATTGAACCTGGAAAATTAAATTTATTGTGCGCATTACAGGTAGTGATATTATTTCCCCAAGGCAAAATATAGAATAGATAGCTAAAAGGGCACCAGGATAGGGAAAAACATTCGAACTCATCAAGGTGTATTTAACATCACAATAAAAAAGAAGAGAAAACAAACCACGAATTTTTAAACTTTGGAATGTTCTCTTCCTTTGAGGTGTCAGCTGCCATGAATCTAGATACTACAGCACAACCACTGCAATGTATGAAGCAACATAAATCAGCATGCAAAGATTGATATATGTATATATATATATATATACAGAAATTCTCTTATGCGGACATCCGGACGTTATTATCGTGCGGACGCCATGTATTTTGTACTACCTCTCTCTGCTTTCCTACCTATTTACAATAGAATCCGCACGATAATAACGTGCGGATATCCGGATAAGAGAATAACTGTATATATATATATGGCAAACTACCAGTACAATCTAACCTAAATTGTACGTAATTGACATCATTCTCATGGCCAGATAACACATCAATCTCATGATTTGGTTGGTCTGACTCATCTGAGCCTGGCTTAGAAGCAGTCCACACCTACAACAAGCTAGCTATTATTAGTAGAAATATATAGATGATAGCTTTATTTCTGATTCATATCTGAACCACACTGAAAATTTTCAGATACAATTCATGAGTTTATTCATTACTCATAGAGGCGCAATATTTGCATTTTACTGAATGCAAAAGTGAGTATAGCGGCTACAGAAGGTTGCAGAAATAATAACAAGGAGCATAGAGGTTTAGTATACCCTTGCAAGAGTGTCTGAGCTACCGGTGACAAAGAATGTTCCATTAGCATTAAATGCACAACAAAAGATTTGATGGCTCTGTGAGACAGTGCTGGAGGATGGACCACTGTTTCTCCCTGCAGCCAAGCAATTAAACAACCATACTAAGTACTCTTCCACCAGTAAATAAGTTAGTTGATTTTAGCTGCACTAGAGAGACAACTGACCAACTATAGCATCTGAAGGTCTTGGAATGTATATCCTAGGACTCACTTGAGAATTCCTGGCATCCCATATCCTACAGGTTCCATCATCAGATGAACTGCAAATGACAAGGGAACAACACAAGGTTATTACATGGAAAAAGACTTAACAATTTATAAGATAATAGTTGTCCACAAAAAACACATCGCAAGCATAATAAAATAGGGGGTTTCACTAAAACACCCAAAATGGGGGCTGAAATTAAAAAAAAAAACCCAACACCCAAAACACTTTATAAACACACCCAAAACCCATCATTACACACACTCAAAACCCATTTATAAACACACCCAAAAAATATACAATTGTTGATTTTGGGGTTGATTTTGGGTGTGTTTCTATGTTTAAATAGTGTGTGGGTTTTTTTATAAATACATGTCTAGGATTGGGTTTATTTATAATAATCTATAATTATTCACATTCATTAACAAAAAACTACGATGATATTGAATAAGCAGTCCAGCTGAAATGCAAGCATAAACTTAACAACTATCATTGCTGCTCAGCTAATGGAAAAGAACCTTTTAGTACAGAAGCCAGCCAACCTACATGGACCACAAAAAAAAATAGGTATTTCCTAATATACAGTAGAAACTGATGTCACAAAGAAACCTTCTTGTGATATTACCCCTCAACATATCCACCACCCCCCTGCATTTATTCTAAGAATTTCTCCAATTCCTCGTCAATCAAAACAAGAAAAAAATTGCCAATTAAAAAGCAATGTTACAAAACTGTTGCCTTTTTTCCTCAACCAAAAGCATAGTAATTCTCAAAGAACAATGAAATCCACGATCCCTATCTCAATAACCCATCCTTAGCAATGTTACAATCTCTGATGTCCAATTTACTAACATTCCACTTTTGCTGACACTTCGCACCCTATGAACCAGACAATACATTGAAAGGCCTAAATAAATAATAAATAAAAGAGAACAAAAATTGATCATAAGAGACTTCAAAATTCTACACTCCCAAAAACATTTCCAAAGAGAACAACACAAACATGTAGGTGAGGTGATACACTGAGAAAAGGGAAGAAAGGGAGACATACAAAAAAAAAATTATGAAAATGAATTCCCCATGCATTCACTAGTTTAGATAGACTCCCAAAGAAAAACCAGTTTCAACATAAGGATCAGCAAGGTCAGACGGGAGTAAATTACTTACAGCTAATTAGAAACTCCACATGAAAATTTATTTAAATTGATAGAGGAATTGGCCTTACGATAGAAGCTGGTACATAGAGCCTGGCCTGGGATTAAATGTAATGGCAGTAACAGCTCCAGTATGTCCTCGCAACACTGATATTGGCAGCCCGTCTGGCAAGCGCCACTAGTAAACATGAAAATTTACAGTAAGTTAACACTGAGTGTCCAGCAAAGGTTAAAAAAAAAGAACGTAAAATGCAAAATAGACGAACAAAACATATATATTTAGGCACAGATGAACCTTACCACTCGAATTATAGTGTCATTTGAGGAGGATGCCACTAAAACATTGTTGGAACTCACAGCCAGATCCGTGATGTCTCCCTTAAAGCATAAAATGAGTAAAATTAAAGGGGAAAACGGATAAGTAATCTTTGAGGGGCCAATAACAACTTACTTCATGTCCACGGCAGCTGGCCAAGCAAAATGCAGTTTCCATTAACCAGATCTTCACTAGGCGATCATCTGAACCAGTAATAACATATCTCCCTGAGCGATCAAATGTTGCTGCATCATTCATGTCCAAATAAACCACCATGAGAACTATACCACATTTTAAAGGTGTGCACTACAAATTTGATAGAGAGAAACAGCAGATAAAAGTTCACAATATTAGTTAAACCGAACAAGGAAAAAGAAGAAGCTATACGAAGATAGAACTGAAGTTCAACGTCAAACAAGAATGGGATTCACACCATTTAAAGATGTGTACTTAGATTGAAAATCCATAACCAAGACTATAACCTTCTATTCTAAAAACACTGAGAACAAATTATCTCATCCTATGCTGGTAATTAACTATCAAATCATATAGAGCTGAATAATGTAGCAAGCCAAAATCTATGTACATAAGAACAGAGGTTACTGATGTCAGCCAAAACTTTGACATGAATATTGCCAGTAATAGATTAGTTTATATCAAAGGATCATTGAGTACTACTTTGATATTTAACAAAGATGAAGAAACTTGATTGATCTTATATTTGCAACAAAAAATAGAAAAAGTACTACCGTATATACAAATATATATATACATATATATTATATATCACTATACTTAACTTTATCAAATTTTAAACAATGTGGCAAAGTCAAAGGTCCAAGTATTCCTCTGACTTCGTAAACACCATATACTACAATGAGGAATAACCTTCCAGACTACACTATTACAAGGCGTACTAAAAACAAACACCATGCAGATCCCCAACACCAGACAACTGAAAAGCAAAACACCAGAACTCCCTAGCAAGTTAGCAACAGAGCAACAATAATATATTATCACTTATTACCAGAAGTAATCAATTAATGCCACCTAATATTTAGCATCATAAGTTGCAGGGAAACATAAAGAAGATTGCCTAAAAACTGCCTATATATATATATTGTAAAGAGAGATTTATAAAAAAGCATACTACATACCTGTGGACCAACATGTTGTAATTTAATGGAAATGATTTTCCATCATCATTTTCATCCCCACTGTGTAGGCCGTTTCTTGAATACCAAGCATGATATCTTCTAGGTAAAAGTTGATGTTCAAGAAGTTCGTTCCAAAATTGTACACAAGTTCTACGACATGGTCCAGATGACAGAAAATGCATAATTAGAAAATACACTTCTCTGAGGTCAATATCCACATCAGGTTCCTTAGCAGGACTTGTCTCTAGATCCTCTGATCGATTGTTGCCATGCACCTTACTGAGAAAGCTCAAAGGTTTCATAGTAACAGAAGGTGCATCACGAGAAGGAAATTTTTGAAGAGCCATAGCTCCTGTAAAACCTACAAGTAAAGGATCAGCCATTTACTATGCAATCATCACTGTCAAACACAATTTATTTAACAAGAAGCAGCAATTTTTATTTTATTTTTTATTTTTTTTTAAACCAAGGTAAGTGAAGATGGCTAAGGTACAAAGTGGTACACATGGATTCTGCATTCGTCTTACTAAGATTTAGCACATCAACAAACAACATCTAGCTAAGCAAACTCTTCTTAAGTCTCAAACTCCAAAACCCTAAACTAAACCAGAAGGTAAAATGCAAAACAAGTCCCACTGCATCTAACCATTTTACCATTCACACGAGACCATATATGCAATACCTAAATTAGATAGCATTGAAGTTATTGGAATACCTATTCAATACTCCAAAATTAAATCTCATCGAAATAACCAATTCAAATTACCCTGGGGGGGAACTGACCTGCTGAATGAGTCATGTAATTCATTTAACCAGATGGGCAATCCCAGAAAACACAAAACTCGATACTACACTCATGAAACCCTTACATTACAGAATCCATAATGCATTCCTCTGTGGCAACCAATAAAAACCCTAAAAGTTCAATTCTTTTGCACTGCACTACAATTCAATACACACACATACACAAACAGAGCAAAAAAATGCACAAAATCCAAAACATACCCAATAACAGAACCCCTTATCTAAATTCTGAGAGCAACAAAAATACCAAATTACACCAAATAAATTCAAAAAAGAAACTATAAATTCAAAAAAAGAAACTATCTTTCTCTGAGTACCTTCAAGACGACATGTTTCAGGAGAGTAGTGTGGCGCAGCCCGGAGGATTTGATGAAAAGCCGTGGGGATCCAAAGGTGGGAGAGTTTGCAAATATCAGAAATTTGGAACCAAGAACAAATATCAATTCAATTTTTTTCTATTAAAAAGAAAAGATGGGAATTTGAGAGTGTGTGTGCAGCACGTGCGAGAGGAGGGGATTTTTTTAGATTCTTGGAGGGAGCTCTTTAGCTCTGTGGGTTTTTGGTTGGGCTTTTTTCTCAGTCTCTCTCTCTTTCTCAGAGCGAAGGGAAGCCGAGAGAAGATACAAGGGGTTCAACGAGGCGTTTGTTTTTAACCTTTATGCCCCACTCTACTTCCGTAGATGCTTTGGTCAAATAAAAAATTATAAAATATTTCGCATGCGTGATACGGTGCAACATGTGACGACGTCGTATTGTAGCCCTAGGTTTCCATTGTCCCTGCCATCTGTACTTTTTTTTCACTTTTTCTCGTTACGAAACTTACTCTCGTACGGTTTTCTAAATTTATCGTACTTTGTTACTGCATGACACAGAAATATTCACAATTCAAAAAGTTTATAATGCAAGTCATGCACGTAGGATTATCTGCCCTATTGCCTTCTCTATTACAACGTCTAGTTTTCTGGCTTGTCCTTCGGGTGCCTCTTTTTCTTTATTTTTAGGGATTTTTTTTTTCTTTTCGGCCAGGATGGATGATTTTTGTTGAACAATTGAACAGAAATTATATATATATATATATTTGTTGGTTTTGGGTAGCTTTGTATTAACAAAATTTACTGAAGGATGAAGGCAAATTCACAAATATTAGATTTTTTTTGTGGGAATTCACAAATATTTATGGAATAAAATGCACTTCATGGTATGATATTTTCATTAAGTATTCTTCCATAATTCCCGAAGGATTTAATGCAATACAAATTTGGGAGAAAATTATTCCCGAATTATTCAAGAAATCCTCCACCTTGAATGAAGTTCCCAGAAATTATTTAAGTTGGGCTAAATGTTAGGGTGAGACCTTTGCCCAACATGAGTGAAATGGGTTACAAAGGAAGAATCATATTCTTTGGGCTCAAAATGGTATTGAATACAAGCCCATCTTAGCCCTAAAGGCTCAACCTTTGCCTTTCAAGTGAAGGGAAAATAATAATTAAGCCCACTTTTAAAAGACAAAGCCCTGGCTTTCAAAGGTTTGAGCTGGTGCCTCCTTTTGTTTTTGATAGCCTTGTTGCTGATGTTTGCAGCCTGGCCAGGGCTAGAGTAGTGGTTGTTTAGTTCTTTTTGTTCTGGCCTTTTTGGCCCCTATCTCACCCAAAAAAGAGAAAAAGACAAAGCCTAGTTGACAGTCGACTACAATATACAAGTTACTGCGAAATTCTATAGTAAGGATGCCATATATGGACTCATTATGTGGACTTCCATATTAATCACATGATCATTTTATTAAACTTAAATGAAATTACTATTTAGATGAATTATGTGGCTAATATGAAGGTCTACATCTATGGTCCATTTATGACATCCTCACCATACAATCTTTTAGCAAATGACATAAATTAGAAGTTCGAGTTTACGTGTATGTAAAATCACTCTTATTAAACTTAATTTAAGCCCATAAAAACTCTTAATTTATGCCCCATCAAAGATGGAAATTTGTGTTATATTGACAAAAACCAAGCCCAAGTTCATAATCTACACTAAACCACCCTTAATCATAGTGTCATTAGGGTTGGCCTTAAGTTTTTGAGAGCTCAGGGCGAAAGTAAAGAACTAGGCCCTTCTTACTGTGTCACAATTTTTTTTTATAAACTTATGTGTGTTAGACTCACCTACTTTTTAACTTTTAAACAAAACCCAATTTTGAATTGAATGCCACCTACTTTTCAACATTTAAGTAAAATTAAGTCTGCAACTTTAAATCTGCAACTTTATTGAATTGTTTAAGAGTGGTTTAAGTCTATTGTTTTATTTATAAATGGATAACTTTTCTTCATTTAATCTTTTTAAATAACTTCATAATTTAATTTTTTGAACAATTTGACTTAAAAAAATTGAAATTCCACAAATATAATTTTATTCCAAAAAAAAAAAACACACAATACTTCAAACATACACATATAAAATCTAATAGGAATAAACTAATAACCAGCATCGTGGGGGCTTGGATAATAGTCCCATGAGTTGTCCTCAGGATTAATGGCAAAGTGTTGACCTTGTGCATGTTCTTGCATAATTTCATCTTGTTTATCCCCCCAATACTTCTTCTTTCTTGGAGTAAATTTGGACAAGTCCATGGCCATTTTTTTTGTTCTTGGGCTTCCTTATCTTGTTGCTTCTGATATGCATAAGCATAAGCTTGATCTTGGACAAACTTGTCCAATATGTTAAGCTTCCGTCTCCTATCCTCAAAAGCAATGCCTTGCTCAACCAATGATTCCAAGTACTTATCCCTTGTTTGTTGAGAAGTGTAAGCCATCTTCCCTTTTTTTTTTTGTGGCAATCTTTTGTTTATCTCTCCCCTCATGCCTTGGACTAGGCATGGCGACATCGTATGCGTCGTACAGGAGTCAAAAAGACTTGTGGTCACCCACCCTTAGATTTAATCCAAGGGCTGAGAAAAATTTACGTTAAGATATATTTTTTCTTTTAACTTTTAAATTTCACTTAACAAAAAAGGAAAAAACTAAAAACTAAAAATTAAAAACCCAAAATCTGTTTTTCTTCCTCACACTGCTGCCCCCACGTTCTGCTTCCTCCCATCGCTGCAACCACAACAACTCCGACTCCGGCGTAGCGAGCGAAAATCCAGAGTGACTCATTCCCTCGCACTTCAACAAGGTCAGTTTCTTATTCTTCTTCAGTTTTTTCACTCAATTTTCGGATTTGAAATCATGAACCCATATTTGGGAATTTCAATTGGGTTTGTGTTATTTTTTTATTTTGGAACTACTGTAACTATTCCTTGTACGCATCTGCAACAAGGTCAGTTTCTTATTCTTCTTCAGTTTTTTCATTCAATTTTCGGATTTGAAATCATGAACCCATACCTGGGAATTTCAATTGGGTTTGTGTTATTTTTTATTTTGGAACTACTATAACTATTCCTTGTACGCATATGAACAAATATCAGTCTCTAGTTGGGAAAAGAATAAACCCTTTGATTTCTAGAAATTGGGAATGAATTGGGAAAAGAATAAACCCTTGTATGCATCTTAACATATGATTGGTTACTTTCAATTCTCTGGCTCAGAAAATGTCCAAGTCAAGTTTTCACTCTAGTGAATCGTCCTGTAGTTTCTGAGAGACTTGTGTTCCTTCTCTGTTACCAGTTTTTTATTTTCTCCCAACCATAGCAAAGCGTGTAATTGGTTGGTTTGAATTGGTTGGATTCCTATAGGTAGATAATATGATAGACAACTGCCTATAATTGGTTGAATTTGGTTAATTCGAAGCTCCTTTACAAGAGAGAAGTTGATTACTTTACAACTATGATATTGGTTGTGGTGTTCATATGTATGTAATTGATAACTGAATGTTATAAATGAATTTTGTTTTTACTGATAGTTAACTGATCTTGTTGCATTCTAGAAGTCTGTAAATGAATGAACTCTGTGTGTTTCTAGCAATAGAGAAGGAAAGGAAATGGAATAGGTCCTCTCATGGTCAAAGGAAATATGAAATCAGTCAGAGGGGATAAAAACTTTGAAAGAAAATCAAGCCTGGATGACTCTACAGATTCTGTCAGATTCTGACAAAATGGGAGTAGGCGTAAAAGCAAGCCTAGCTGAGCTGCCGAAGCTGGTGTTAAGTGCAAATTTGTTCAGTTTTGCTGTTATGTACACCTTTGCCATCAATTGATAAATCAGAAGCACGGAGAAAGGATTTGTTGGTTCACTTGTCATTCCTTAAATTGCCTTCGTTGTATTACATTTCTATAGTTTCGGAGTTCGTTCGTTATTGTTTGTACATAAGAATACTACATTTATAGGTGAAGATTCTAGAGTTTTGTACTATTCTTGAATGTAAATTATGTAACACTTCATCATTGAGAGTTTTGTACTATTCTTGAATGTTCTTATTTGATTTTAGTAAAATATATTTTTCCACATGAATGTGGAATACATTGCAAAAAAGAAGAAGCACAAATGTTCTAATCTAAACGGCTACTCATGACACTAAGGATACCAAATTATGACCAAATTGATAGACATAACTAGATTTGTGCAAGACTGAAAGAAGAAAAATATAATATGGCCTAGTCCAGTACATAAAAAATTAACAAGAGTATAAAATCTAGAGAACTGTTGATCCGGCTATTATGAACACAACTTGACGTCAAGTACCAAACAGCATATCTGCGAAGCGTGATGTCCCTGGAAAAATTACATACACATCAAAGTTTATTTAAAAAAATACAAAGAAAAACTCAAGCCAAACAACAACCTACCTACCCAGTAGCATCCACAAGCTATTATTCATCAGTTGTACTCCTTTCCACAAATGTCTCATTAACAAGATTTTCTTTAGTAGACATACTGCATAAATACAACCGAATCCAAAAAATTTAAAATTGCAAAAAGATGTAGAAAATACAAACACATACCTATTAAGTAATGGACATTTCCTTTTATTATGTTGGCCAACCTTACCACACAAGGAACACCGCCTAGATTTTCCTTTTATTTTTTCTCTCCAAGATTTTAATCGTTTTCCACAGCCTTTCGCTCTAACATGGAGAGGATCTACAAAATTTTGTTTTTCAGTATTGCCTATGTAGCAGTTGTTCACACTAGATGGTTCACCAACCAAACTCAAATTCATATTTTTAATTTGATCAACAAGTCCTTCGAATGACTTTTCTACAAGTTGCGTCCCTTCTTCTGATATTGTAGTGCCATCAATCAACTTTGATGCAAGTTGAAACAAACTTGTGTGTCTCAATATTAGTGAGTTATCTGCACCATCTTGCACTTTGAACTTTTCATTGCCAATTCTTGAAAACTTTGTTCATCTACGCATAATATACTCCTTTGGCAATTGCATAATTGGTTTCACTTGAAAAAATGCTAACATATGCTTGCACGAAATACCTTCAAAATCAAATAACCTACAACTGCACTTCAGTAGATTTGATATTTTATCATGCACAAGGGTTCGTACTCTAGAGTTTGCATCAAACTTTTGGATTTTGTAAATCCAACACTTTTCATCTTCACCTGTGACATTCACCATGTAACTATTACTTTCCAGAAGCTCTTTTTGAAATTTGTAAAAGTATTTCTTAGTGTACATACCAACCATTTGGTTCT